GATTGCCTTTTTATCAATCAAAATCAAGTGTGAACTATTGGCACACATGTGCCATGCACATACAAATGGCCCTACTGTGTGATCTACACAACAGGAAGTACCTATATTTACTTTCTCTTATTGATAAAGTATTGGTAGTATCGCGTACGGGATTGGCATCAACATGTCATTGTATTTCAGTCTTCATAGAGAACAATGTACAACCTAGTCACATGTACTAAGAATTGGTTTAAACGTGTACGTGCAGCAAATTAGTGGGATCATTCAAAGTCTATTAAACAATGTACATATCTATATACGGTCTGTTCACGTTCGAAATTTCGTAGTACGCACAATAGTATATCTGTCCACTGATGTCATTAATGTCAGTGGCGTGAGGGCTATCAATTTTCGTGTTGTTCTGGCTTTTACAACAACGTGTTCAATCTTAGCATTAACTGTTTGTATTCTGATCAAATTGTCTGCTTCCCATACGGAATCACTTGATACGAAAGGCTTATTTCAATATTTAGATTCCGAACTTAAATGGCATAGTTAGCATTCGTTTCTGTTGATTATGCGGTCTCAGGATCCACCGAAAATTCTAGCAGTGCCACTAATATAGAGCTGGTAATACTGAGCTTCAAGGTCGGTCGGTGTCCTGCAAACTCATGCAAATCAAAGTCTTGCTTATGTATGCGTGATATATCGGACTACTACTCGTCGGCATACACTCAGGGGAGTTGTCTCGACTTGTTCTGGCGTTGATGTTGCAATACATGACAATTGTGTGTTGCACATATAGCCAACCTCTTATTGTTCATGTGTTCTACGCTACAATGGTGGTGTACTGCAGTCGTGAGTGCTGCAAACTCCTGCAAATAAAAAGCTCTGGTATTTACAAGGATGTATACCCGGGAAGGAGCTGACATAAATGTTAGCGATTTCGATATACGCCTACATTACACTGTCTCTCGGGGAAAGGACAGCGTACGCAACTAACATGTACCAATTTTTCTCATGCAACCTTTTATAAATGTGCGGTGATCAGATTAACAGCATAATGCACTGGAGCTATGAGAAGGACGTGGAGTTGGCAGATCGTAATGCTCAACTGGTTGCCGCCCAGGTACCAACCTGTGCACTAGAACAGTCCAAGCATGGTGCATTTGAAACGTTCGTTAGATGTGGTATAGGAGAAGTACGAAATCTTTTGTTGACTATACACTCATCGATCCCTCAGGGCTATATGTCTCGAATGTTAATTTGGCTATGTAGCTAAACATCTGAATTACCGAGCGCTGCATACGATTTCTTCCACCGTGCAGTCTTATGATTTATATAGTTTAGAGCACAAGATGCGCTCATTTGTGCGACTGTATGTGCAGCATAAGCAGTATATTCTGTGTGAATTCCATGTAGATTAGGTTGCAAAAGGTTGTATTTGTCTCCGTACATTAACAGTCGCCTTTGGATCAGACCACATTACAACTCGGTCACTTTTGATGCGCCGTTCACTGATGTAACATTCACTCGAGTTCTAGTGAATATCTGTATCTATATAGTGCTCCAACCATCGCTGAGCAAAAAATGCTGCTACAACCTATCTTCGTTGAAGCATCATTCGTACATACCGTCACCGAGCAGAAGTCACACTTCATCACAATCTGACCGTTTGAGCCGTCTCATATCCCAACATGTGTCCCTTGTGCGTACGGATTACTCAAGCGCAAACTGCAACAAGGTATGCACTCCGCCCACTCCAAACGGCAGCACAAAATCATATTTTGTCTTATGTGGCTACAGCATTAAAATTTTGTCTCTTGCACACTGGTTCTGGAGTGCAACGCACGTGTTCCTAGTAGTCTTTAGTGCTGGGCTGTTTTATCATCCTTTGTATCAAAATCAAGAAACATGTTCAGACACTGTGTCCTGTTCCCCCGTCGACCTTGCTTTCAAAATTTAGACTACTAAACTTATCGTATACATGCTGTACGAGTTCATGCTAAGTGTGACCGGTGTATATCTTCAGTCTCTGGGCAACTATGGCTTGCTCGCTAGCGGTTGGATCGACTCCACACCACTCACACAATCTACGTACATATCAACCACCGAGTGGCTAGTCATCTGTCTTCCAATGTACCTATCCCCATAGCAAGGGACGAACTGCGCCAGTACCAGATTGTGCTGCAGTCGATTACCGTTACTACTGCGGATACCGTGTTGATATTGCTGACTGAGACGCAACAAGCCTCGCACGATCTCCGTGACGGTGTGTTTTGGGTTTATGGGTCGGAGGCGTTGCCTTCTCTTGCATATACGTACATTTTGGTTGGGATGATGAGAACCTGCATTAACAATGAGTGTGCGTGTACTTCTTTTCAGTTTCCATATTTTACGCGTCTTCCAGGTGTATTAATTTCATACCAGTTTCTGCTATTCGGCACGGCGATGTGAGACTCGATACCGATCAGTCCATATTATTATGTCCAATAATTGCTATTTAGTGATTAAAAACCACTGGATTTTACACATGGTATCACTCGTCATCCGTGATTTACAGGAATGTGTCTTTTCCTGCGCAATCGACGATATAGTAACAAGAGTATTTAGCCGTGCTTCTAGGACCCGTTGAATTACTGCCAAATTTTGTACTGCACTGTGCTGTATGCGGACATACTCGTTTAGTACTCATCACACAAACAAGTGTACTGTTTTGGCTGATATCTCATAGAGCTGTCTTGAAACCTGAATATAAGCATGTTAAACTATCGCCACAATCAGTATTTTGATATGTTATGATTACGATCATCAACTAGTTTGGTGACCGTTGTTATCGATCAATGGGAAGTATCGCTCTATAGACTGGCAGCTATCCAAACGTGTGGTAGTCTAGGAGATCAGATAGAGATTAAGCTAGCAAAAGATTGTTCAATACATTCACCTGGTATGCCGTACAATTTTCCGGTGGACCATTTTTGTCATTGAGACGGTTGTAGGGGTGTACGCAAATTCTCAATACACTACTCCGAATCTTAATGACGACTCTCATCCCCACCCAACTCCATTCGGCACAGCATTTGAGAAGTCCTTGAAAATACGCGGGCGAAAAGAAAGTGAGAATGCATCTCTGCTAATGCTACTGACATCACAGGACAGGTGTCACGTGTGACATTCAATCCGTGGCATAAAGATCTACCATAGTAAAGTTTGTTGTTAAGTTAGATGGCTGTACTGGTATGCATTTGCAAAAGTGGCTCAGTTATGTACGAAGAAGTGAAGCTGCTGTAAATATGCAATTCTTGGGCCACAGCCGGTGGTTAAATCTATACATCCATGACGCTTCTTATTCTACTATACAATGTGGCTGATAGAGAGGATATGCGCCCTTTATTGGCTGGTTTTATAATCTGTCACTGTACCATCTACAGTCGGTGCAGTACTGCTTGTGAGTCTCTCGTCGAACGCACTAAACAGTGGACAGCAGACGCACAGAAAAGCACGCTGGATATCGAGATACAAAAGGTGACTACGTCCACAGCTGCTGGGTGGTGTCGTGTGTCATGCGGTGTGGTTATGTCGGAGTCTAAGGTGGAACTGAATACGACTGATAGGTGTTTGATACCGACCGAACCTCCACGCTTTACAGCACAGATACTATAAAGCATCACAAGTGAAGAAAGCTGGCGGAAGTTTTATCAAGAATGTATAGCATAGGTATTGATACGTGTTGTTGGAAGTGATGTTTGTTTTGCATATAACTCTGATTCCAGCTGCAAGTTTGCACCACGTCAGCTACACACGAATTTAAACTCTGTTCAACCAGACAAGGCCCGACAAATAAACCGTCTAATCATGTTCAATGCTACTTTTGCCTACTGCTGCTGCCTCCAGCTTACATGTGAACTTGAAAGGCACTCCGTTGGAGGTAGGATTTTTTTCTCGTGTGAATTGTAGTCTGTCGTTGTGGAATACTATTGAGTGGGGTCAGGCTGTCGATGAAATCGGTATATTCTACAAACCGAGGAAAACCTTTTACGACTTGGATGTTAAATGTAGTGAGTGGTTACTCTAATAGTGGACTGCTATATAGACTCTGAGTACAACCATGGGTGTAGGAGTATGATGAAGTTGTGTGTACACGCAGTCATCATGAGGTTGTCGTCGATTGGCCAATTTGTCGATGAGGTTTGTTGCGCATATGTTTATATATTTCTCCTGTCTCCTGTACTAGAGTGGATAATTTGAAAATTAATGGATAGAAATGCTGCGACTAGCCGCTTAAAGTAGATTTCAAATGCAACAGATCATTCTACACATCAGACACCTGTCAACAAGATGGTTGTGAATACTTTTTCCTCACAAGCAGTTGCGGAGTTGTTCAATGAGCTGTCGCAGTATGCCCATCTGGAGGTATGTCTAGAGTCTAAATGAAGCAGTAGTTACGAGCGATATGTCACACGGTGGTGTGTAAAGATGAACTATAGGCTGGAGACGCCCCTCCAATTCTATATTTCACGCTCATAGTTTTGAATGGGTTGTGTATGGACGCTTTGTGCATGTCGAGTGTCCCGATACTTGACGTTCTAAGGCGCATGCTCTTGATAAGAAAGAAGTAAGCCGTATTCGCACTGGCGTTGCTCTTTGGCATGTGGGCGTGAACACAATTCACCTTGCTACTTGTAATTGTAAGTATTACTAAATTGTAAGTATTACTATGCTACTATCTACTAGGTCGGTGTGTACCGAGAAAGCATTCATGGAATGTGATAAAAAAAATGAACACAGTTCACCTTGCTACCTGTAATTGTAAGTATTAGTATGCTACTAGCTACTAGGTCGGTGCATACCGAGGAAGCATTTAGACAATATGCTGAAAAGAAAATGCTCCACCATGTGCATAGAAAGCACAGCAAAGCTATTTTTAGTACGTGACATGTCACACGTGCCGATATGCTGAGCACAATCATCCCAAGATGTATCTGGTGTAGGGCGGACTCATTAACATAGTCACCGAAGTCGCGTACCAAACATACACTGGCATTAGTCTTGTTCGAATCGGCACACGACTTCTGTACACTTATATGCACATGACTACGCTCGACCTCTCTTTACACATCCTTAACCGCGTGGCCCGTGTATAGGTGCTTGATCAGATTTTAATTTTCAGATGAGACAATTGGTCACTAATAGTACCATGACGAAATAGGAAGCAATCAGTAGTTTCACAATGAAAACACCTTACTATCCCGATTTCGAGTAGGAGCTGCAATCGCAGGGATCGGAGCTACGTAAACAGAAGGAGGACAGTGAAAGGGACGCTGCAGATGCTGCTAACAGGGTATCACAATAATTGTGTCCCAAATCACTAATACACTAATGAGCTGAAGGCGAAACAAAACGTGTGTAGCGTGTGATATTGTCGAGGGTAATCCCTGGAGCAGAAACCACCTTCTATTCGTTGTAACTCGCCTATGTTACATACATACGCAGAGATTGTTCGACTAGCTCCAAACGTACTAAGGTATGAGGCTGTTACCAACAACCAGTATCGTCAATGTTTTAACGTATTCTGAACCGCTGAAAATCGATTCGGCTGTGATAGTGTGTATAGGTGTGACTTCATAAGTTGATAAGTATGCTATTTGACCTCGATGAAAATTCTCAGATTGCCAGCCTTGTATCAGAAAAAGAGGAGCTACAAGAACTGATATCTGACCTTGAGAGCATTCGGAAGATTGGCGCCTCGCTTCAAATTCATGTATGTAATAGCCAAATTGAATTTTATTGTATCTAGACGGGTCAAAACTTCGACTTGAAGTTTTAATATCGCATGTCCGCTGCTATGAAACTCAACTTGGCAGTGTGCACTACTTTTGACGGTCTATCCCATTCGCTACAACTTCACGTCAGCACGCTGCTCATATAAACCACATGAATTTATACATA